TCTTAACAAGCTGCTCCACCTGTTCATTTTTAAAGTCTGTTCTAAACAAGATGCTCCACCTGTTCATTTTTAAACCTATTTTAAAAACTGTTTTTAACGAGCTGCTCCACCTGTTCATTTTTAAAGTCTGTTCTAAACAAGATGCTCCACCTGTTCATTTTTAAACCTATTTTAAAAACTGTTTTTAACGAGCTGCTCCACCTGTTCATTTTTTAAAGTCTGTTCACATTGAGCTGCTGCACCTGTTAATTTTTAAACTTGATTTAAAGTTTGTTCTTAACAATTTACTCCACCTATTCATTGTTTAATTTATTTTAAAGTCTGTTTTTAACAAATTGCTCCACTTGTTCATTTTAAAACTTTTTTTTTTATTTTTATCTTAACGTGCTTCTCCACTTGTTCATTTTTAAACCTATTAAAGTCTGTTCTTAACAAGATGCTCCACATATTCTTTTTTAAACTTATTTTAAAGTATGTCCTTAATAAGCTGCTCCACCTGTTCATTTTGAACAAAATTATTATTTTTCAAGCCATATTTTGTTCCTCTTAGATGATAATAATTTCCCTTTTTTTGTGATTTATCCTTGTCATTTTTTTGAGTTTTGTTCAACATGTTTGCTCTAAGTTAAAGTTAGACACTGATTCATGCTCAATAATTCAGGTAGATGAAGCTAACCAGGTTGAGTCAGGTCCCCTGGACGGATTAGTCCTTGTTGAAGAACCCGTCCAGATGACCTGACTTTACCTGGTTAGATTAGACAGCAGTCTGCCACATGAATCAATGAACAGGTTTATTTCATGCAGTTCTGCTTTAATAAAAATAATATCACTTTTTATTATGTTGTATAATGTGTGCACTCTACAGACAAAAAAAAATCTTATTCTTTCTAAAGCTCAACTGAATTATCTAACAAAGTCATCTGGAGAAGAATCCATCCAGATGACCTGACTTAACCTTGTTAGATTATTCTACCTGGATTATTGCGCATGCATCAGGTCACCTGAATTAAAATGTCTATTTTTTGGAATAAACGTATCAAGTATTGTAATTAACGTCAGTTTAAACACCTCTGGAATTTGACAAGCAAATTGTTTCTATTTCAAATTAAGTTTTTGTTTAAAAAAAAAGAGGTAAAAATGTTGTTATCTGTGGTTGGAAAATAATAAAGTAAGTTTTGTTATTTTAAAACACATAACTCCCGTGTAAAGACATCTTTGTGAACATATTTTGGATAAATAGAATACATGTTTTTATTGAGTGACTTAATAATTGCCTATTATATATATATATATATATATATATATATAATCCTAATCCTAAATGTTCAGTACAAACTGTAAACCATAACATTTGTCTTTATTTTAAAATATGAATTTTTATTTAAGGGACAGCACGGTGGCGCAACTGGTAGAGCTGCTGCCTCTCAGCGAACAGGTCCCTGGTTCAAATCCCAGTCCGGGGGCCTTTCTGGGTGGAGTTTACATGTTCTTTCTGTGCATGTGTGGGTTTTCTCCAGGTGCTCCGGTTTCCTCCCACAGACCAAAAAACATGCATGTTAGGCTGATTGGTAACTCTAAATTGTCCCTAGGTCTGAGTGTGAATGGTTGTTTGTCTCTATGTGTCCCTGTGATGGACTTGCGACCCGTCCAGGGCGTACCCCGCCTCTCGCACAGTGATTGCTGGACATGGACACCAGCGACCCCCGTGACCCAAAATGGAAGAAGCGGGTAAAAGATGATGAATGGATGGATGGAATTTTTATTTACTCACAATCAGAAATTAGACTGAGCCGAGGTCAGGGCTGGTCATATGGTTAAAGGTTCCTCAGGGTTCACATGCTCAGGACCCCCTCTGTGCTACACTTTAAGGCCTGCAGGGGTCAGTATTCTCATATTGAGATCTAAAGCAGCTTCATTTGACATCCCTGAATCCTCTCACCTGAAGCACATCTTAAAAAACCCACCAGGATGTAAGATGTAAGTGATGGATTCACGTGTTATGGTTTTTCAAAAACCCACATGATGATACTGTCATGTCAGGGTTGTTGGTTGTACACCCTGTGGGGTTCCCACTCCCTAGTCTTGTGTGGAAGCCCTCAGCGGTGGTGCTCCCTGTCCGGTTTCAGACATTCCTCTCTCTTTGTTCATCAGAAGCCTTCAGTGAAACTCTGCGCCTCATCCATGCTCTTTATTCAGCCATTCATGCTCTTTATTCGGCCATCCATGCTTGTTGTGGTGAGATTAACACATCACATGTGAATGTTGGTGTCGTCCTCACACCTACGAGGCTCCGCCAGGTTTGTTTCCAGGCTGGGTTTGATGTATTTATTTATTTTTTGGTGACACTGTGATCACGGATGTCACGCGACGCTCAGCGTATTCTCCAAGACAGCAGAACTCGCCTCAAGGTTACCCTGTTGCCATGGAGACAGGCCCGCCAATGAACGTTCAGCAGATGGTTACGATGTTGACTGCAAGCTTTTTGTTTTAAGGGGTGACCTATTTTTTTCCCTCTCCCCCCACATCCAGAGCGGCAGACCCCACTACTCGAGCACATTTGCACGTGCACATTTAGATTAAATAAAAAAAAGGCAGAGGGGCTGCCCACAAACAAAGACTTGTTCAGGGAGGGTAAAAAAGAAGCAGCATCCTCAGATATTCATGTATAAAAATCCATTTCTTCAGTGTTTTCTGTAAAAATAAACATTTTATTTAAAGGTCTTCAGAACACAAAACCTTCAGTAAATTTCCTCCTTAATAAGCGAGACTATGAGATAAAGTGTTTTGTTTTTAAAGTGCCACTTTATTACAAAAGTATAAACTTGACCGACATTTTTTTATGAATAGTAATCTTGATATAAAACATTACAATCTTTTGCACTTTAGCACTTAATTACACGCTATTTGAATACAAGACCCTGTAGTCTGGAGCAAACACACAACATTTAATTTGGCGGGGCTTTTCAACAACACGCCGTAGCTTCATGGCTTGAAAAACAACAGAGACAACGGAAATCTTTTTACATTGCAGCCGTTTGTGTCACAAGAGAAGTCGTTCCAAAAAGCACAACATAATAGAAAAAGATTTCTTGACACTGATGATATATTTATTATTCTTTGTCTTTTTGTCATGTACATACACATTTCATCAACATACAGTATAATCACATTGTTTGCTTGGGCGGGGGGAGTCACTGTTATTGTTCAGAATCTGAGGCCTCTGCTTTCTTTCTGATGTTTTTACGCTGGCAGCAGAGTGCACGGGCTGATGACGGACGTGATGTTTGCTAACACACATCAACTGTAGCTTTCCACGCTGCTCTGAGCTCGAGCGGGTTCATCCGAGCACGAGGCGAAGGAGATGAACAAATCACAGATAGTAGTGAGCAGGTGTAGTGGACTAGGTCCACATTTAGTGCTCGAACAGTTCACTTGGACTCATTTAGTGTGTGTGTCCTCTGAGCTGCACGGAGCGCCACCGAGCCAAAGATTTCTAATCAAACTGACTTTGGCGCTACAGAAACAAGCAACACGCTACAAAAAGGAAACAACCAACGACAGGAGAAAAGAAAAACATTCATATAGAGAAACCACACAACAGTGCTTGATTTTTGTTTTTTTTTATACCCCCCTCAATATTATTTTTTTATATATTTTAATTTTTTTTAGGCATGCAACTTGTAGCAGGCAAAGTGCAGAAACAGGATCATCAAATTAAAACACGTCATTTACAGACAGCAGAGAAGACAATGTTTGGTCCAAACAGAACCAAACCCACTGGAGCGAAGTATCTCATTGGATTGTGTTTTTTTTAATTATTTTTTTTTTATGGTTTTAAACCCAAGAAGGTTTCAGGATGAACGCAAAAAATGTGTGCAATTTTTGTTAAAATATTCTCTTAATTTTTTGTTGTGGTCCCTGAGCTTTCGTGTGTTTTTGATTAATAATTCATTCATTTGGATTGTTTTGATTCAGTCCTGAATCACGTCTGGTCGAATGCAGGGAAGGCCTGTTCACCACAGACTAAGTGCTACTAACGTATCAGACACAACGCTGGACCTTTTCTTTGAAGGGATCTTTGACTAGTTGGAACAATACACCTTATTGATCAATAATTACTTCAGCTATAAAGACGAGACCGTAAAAATACTGTAGGCCGTTTGGTTTCTTCAGTGTTCTAAAAATTAATGACACATGGACATCGCCATTTCATTGATGCTGCAATGCTTTCTGGGTAAATGAGATAGACAGGTTGGTGAGCTCCATTCAGCTTGAATGTTCACTTTGGACATTATCTGACTTCAGCTTTTTAATTTGAACAGGAGCGCATTGACAGAGAGGAGAATGCAGAAATGACTGGAATTAATAATAGTGTTAGCTCTGGCGTTAATATTTATAGAGTTAGCTCTGGAGCTAATATTTATAGAGTTAGCT